AAACACTTTTTAAAAAGAAGCCATGGCATTGCTGTGTTCAGCTCCCACCCTCATCGCACATACGTGTTCAGTTCCACTTACCTTAGAGCTTATGCTTTGGATTATTGTTTTTGAAATGTGTCTCTAGTTGGTTTAAGTCTTCACGAAAAGGGATTCTGTAATCACCCTGCCTCAAGTCTCCCAAAGAAAGCAAATTTAGGAAATGCTGAGTTAGCCAAATTCCACGGTGGCACTTCCCAGAGCAACTAACACAATATCCTACATTAATAACACACAAAATCTCCCATGTTGAGTAGAAATGTTCCCTGTCTGCTTTTATTTCTAGTAGAATAGCTTTGGAGTTAGGGTTGGGTATAAACTCTTGGGAAACGCTGATAGAGTATGTGTCATGTTGCGATGAATACTATACAAGCTTAATGCTTCACTCAACACTGTGTGGGTTACACCTTACTATTTCTGTTTCTAAGATAGTATCTTACACAGAGTGAAAACTAGTTTTGTTGAATAAATGGATAAAATTATGAATAAATACTTTTGCTTTTTAAAGGTTTATTTATTATTTGAAAGGCAAAATGGAGGGGCAGGGAGAGAAAGAGAGAAATTTTTTTCGTCTGATTCTTTACTCTGCAAATGTCCACAATAGCTGTGGCTAAGTTCAGCAGGAGGCAGGGATTAGGAACTCATGTAAATCTCCCACATGGGTGGGCCATCTTCCACTGGCTCCCACGTGTACCAGTGCGAAAACTGGATCAGAAGCATGAAGTATCTGCTGCTTGAACCAGATTTTCTGATAAAAGCTTAAGCCACTGTGCTACAATGCCTGCTGCACGTGAATAAATTTAGAAGAGAGATATCAGATATTTTATCAGATTGATGGGGGTCTTGCTTCTGACTAGTTGCGTTTTGTTGACAACTCAAATGATAAAGTGAAAGAAAATGAAGCCTATTCGCTGTTCGTAGCATCCATTGGTTTATTCTTCACAGCATCTACTGATTGGACCACTGTTAAGCTGCTTGCTCCTTTCCCTCTTTGTCTTTTACCGAAGCTGAAGATAAACTGTGTACACACAGTACCTAAATTTTCTCATTTTCTATCATCTTTCCATGAGAATGATACATGCCATTCCAAATATAAAATTGGGAGTGTTGAGTCTCAAACAGGCTCAATGGATTGGTTGATTACTTGCTCAAAGGTGATTTTGATTGAATCTCTCCTTGTGTCTGTGGCATTGAATAACTTCCCTTCCCTTGACAGTGGTGTCTTTTCATGATAAATTATCTGCTAATGAGCATAGAACACCTAGTACACCTCTGATGAATATATGATGTTCTTTCTCCTAATCAGTGATTTGATGGAAGTAAGTCAAAGTTCAAACTTCTCTATCTCATGGAAAATGCTGGTTGGATCTCCCGAAAAAAAAAAGGGGGGGGGAAATAAAATAAGCATGTTAGCTGTCTTTTTAAAGCTGAGTTTTTCTGTTAGAAAATATTTTATTGAGGCTTTCTAGAAGTCTTTGTAGTTTGTGGCAAAGGGCAGAAGGGATAAACATGTTTATATACCTGGGATCTTCCCTCTTTCTCTTTTTAAGAGATTTATTTATTTTATGTGAAGGGCATATTTATAGAGAGAAAGAGAGAGAGAGAGAGAGAGAGAGAGGGAGAGAGAGAGAGAGAGAATGGGTGGAACAGAGCCTGCCTAGAGCAGGAATCAGAATCCTCTCCCAAATCTCCACATGGTGCAGGGGTCCATGTGATTTCTGCCATCCTTTTGCTGCTTTTCCAGGCAAATTAGGTTGGTGGATCACAAGTGGAGCAGCAGAGACTTGAGCTGGTGCATATAGGGAATGCTGGCACCACAGATGGAGGTTTAACCTACTATGCCATGGTGCTGACACCAGATCTTCTCTTTTTATGCATTGCTAGCTTTGTTATAGTTCAGAAATTTAACAGGATGAAAGCATTTTCACAAAAGAAAAAAATAAGGAATAAATACTCCAATGAAAAAAGACAATCAGGATGTTGTTTCCCAATTCTTTCTCTACATTAAGGGAAATTTTCCCTTATTATTTCATTAAACATATTTTTAAACTCAGCTTTTCTTTATGCACCTTCTGGGACTCCCATAACTCTTCTATTTGGCCTTTTACTGTTTTACTGGGTTTTTTTGTTTGTTTGTTTGTTTTTTGTTTTTTTTGCTAGACCCAGCTCTGCTTCTAGCTATTTGTTTGTTTCCCCCTGGTGACAGGAAATATCTTCTGATTTTGAGAGTCTTTCTTCTGCTTCTTTCATTCTATTTTGGAGACTCTCCACTGTACTTTTAATTTGCTCCATTGTATTCTTCATTTCTGATAGACCAGCTTTCATTTCCAGTGCGACATATTCTTTGAATTCTTTGAGTGCCTGCCTTATGTTGTTGATCAGAAGCTTTAAAATGAGTTTTATGAATTCTGTGTTCCCCATTTTCTCGATGTCTTCCTCAGGAAACTCTGAAGTTGGTAAATGCTTTTGCTCCTTTGCAGGGGAGTTTTCAGCAATATTCATTGTGCCTCTGTCTCTGCTTTTGCTCTTAGTCGTTATACTTCTGGTTATCAGATTCTTCTCCTTGGTTCAGATTTCTAAGCTCTGTCACCCACAGGTTTACAATTTGATTTTACTTATTGCAGTTGGTACAAAGCTCTTTGTTTGCAGTCACTTGTGCCACTCCGTCCAACGAGTTCCAGGTCTGGTGACTAGCAGATTTTCATTCTACTCTAAGATTTGTGATTATGAACAAATTCCTTACTCTTTAAGCATCACTTGCCTCATCTGTAAGATTTGAATACTTGATTTAATTCATTATATTGCTTTAAGGAGCAAATGTGTGAAAGTATTTCCTTGTTACGTAAGTGTATCATGACATAGTAAGTAGAGGTAAAGGTAGAAAATCCACTGCTTTATTGTACAGGTAAATTGATTTGTTTCATTGGAAGTCCTACTTGGAAATCGAGAGTAAAGATGCATACTGCAATGTATCTTTATTTTGTGCTATTTTCTGCTATACAGTTTATCTATGGGTTAAATGTATACTTGCTTATACCTATTATTTTGCACTTTGCATAAAGACTGTCTTACATCATAGAGAATATATGATATTTGTCTTTTTAGGATTGGCTTATTTCACTAAGCATAATGGTTTCCAGCCGGGATCATTTTGTTGCAAACGGTAGGATTTCATAGATGGCTGAGCAGAGTTCTGGGGAGTAGGTGTGACACAATTGTTCATCCATTTATCTGTGGTTTGGCGTCTGGATTGTTTCCCCATCTTTGCTGTTGTGAACTGTCCTGCTATAAACATAGAATTGCAGGTTGCAACTTTCTATCATTTCTGGGTAGAGGAATTGAGATGAGCTTTGCAAAAACATTTCCTATGATGTCTGAGTTTTCTTTTAAATAATAATACTATTGTTTTTATAAAACACACCACATGTGAAGTGATGTATCGACAAATTTTCCTGATTTGTTCATGGCACATGGTTTATTTGTATTGAAATATCACATTTTATCCCACAAATAGTAAATATTTATGTGTCAGCTAAAAAATAATAAAAATCCTTGAAAATGTGTTTTTTTTTTTTTGAAATTTGTTTTTATTGGAACACAACTTTAGAGAGAAAAGGAGAAAGAGAGAGAGGTCTTACACCTCCTGGTTGACTCTCGAATTACACTCAGAGCTAATCTGAGTGGAAGCCAGGACACAGGAGTTTCCTCCCATTGCCACATGAGTGCAGGGGCCCAAGGACTCAAGTCATCCTCTACTGCTTTCCCAGGTCATCAGCAGCAAAATGGATCAGAAATAGAGCAATTGGGATATACCGGTGCCTGGTAGAGGGAGAGAGAGAGAGAGAGAGAGAAATTTACAGAGAACTATGTGGAAAACTAGCACAGGCATTTCAGGCACAGCGAGCAAGCTGTGGTAGCATAAAAGAGCAGGGAGAGGACACACATTCCATCTACTGCCCACTGGGTTAAAGCCAAAGATCCGGGCATTGTGAAAAGTGAGTCTGAAGAGAAAGCAGTGTCTGATTGTTAATTTACACTTGAGAATAAGTGGTTTGAAATTAATCCTTCAGACCATGAAAGTTATCAACAAGGTTCTTAGCAGCAAGTAGCATGACTACATCAAGGCCTCAAAACGATTTGGGGGGGGGAGGGGCAACATTGTGGAGAATAGATTGGAAAGGGAGGAGATTTTCTACTGGGAAACCTGTTTACTTGGAGAGTCCTAGCAGGGGAGAGTGATGGCCTATGTTGAGCAGTGTGATCTTGATTGTTGCTGAAATAATATTTGCAATGATCACAATTATACAAACGGTCACCAAAAGAGAAAACGTTTAAAAAGATTTAAATGAAAACTAGCAGGACAGAAAAATCATATGTTTTTATGCCAAAATAAAGTTGTTGTAGGACATCTTTTCAAAAAATAAAAAGTTTCTATCAAATTGCAGTAAAACAGACATGTGCATAGACGTGCTCAAGTCAGTTATTCAAGTATTTTTATAGGAACCCGAGGAAACTCGAATGGAGACATGGGGGTAAATTAATTGAGGACAGAGAAGAGTAATAAGAAGAAAAAGAGTTAAAGATTGAGAAATAAGAGTGGCAACAGCATTCCTTCCCCTCTCAGGTATTCCACAGGGCCTTGGGCGACCCCTGAGCCAAGGCTGTGGAAGCCTCACATCATACAAGGCAGGTCGAATGGACTGGTTTCCTTTACGATATCCCCCTATCAGACCGTGACACCCACACGGCGTTGGGGCATGCCTGTACTGGAAGATCTGAGTTTAGATTGGTGGCTGGAGAAGAAGCCACCACGTTTTCTTTCATGCACACGTTTGGTTTCATTGACACATTAACCACAGCAGAGGGAAAAGGGCCACAAGGTGTTGGGGTTATGGTGAACGGGGCAAAGGAACTTTTTTTTTAAAGATAAATATTTCAGTATTGCAAAGACTTTCCACAATTCCACGCCCACCTTGAAAGTTCCCCTCTCTTCACAGGAAGTGCGCTGACCAGTGCAGGAATAAAAGCGGTGCTGAGGCCACCATATCGTCACTCTGCACAGCTCAGCGAACCTCAACCATGAGACCTCTGCTGCTGGCTTTGCTTGGCCTCTGCTGCCTCGCCTCATCCATGGTGGAAGGTAAGTGGAGAAGCTCTGGGGAGAAGAGGGATTTGAGGCTGGGGGCATGCATAACGTAGTGGACTTAGCTTTTGTGTTGCACACTTTCCATGTGTGTAATGAGAATAGTAATTCCCACACTAGGTGTGATTGGAGACTCCTAAGACAGACAGAGGTTGGTCTCTGGGTCCCTCCCTATGCTTCCTAATTGGAAAGATTTGTGTCTTAACTACTCCGAGCCTATGCTTATTAGTCTAGAAATAAAATATACTGATAGATTCCCTACCTTGATTAACATTAAATAAACCTTATGATTTATTATTTATTTGTGGCTTATTTAATAACATCAGATCTCCTATCAAGCAGTACTTTTTCACTATTAGTTATAAAATGGTGATGTTGATTGCAAATGTAGCAGCAGTTTTTGCACATTTAACATTGGTTTTGATAAATTCTTAAAATCCTGGAGAGTCCAGTTACACTCTGCTAGAGGAATGAGCTAGAAGATGTATGTGGTTTTTTTACAAGGCAAATAAAAAGTAACTAGGCCCTCATTCCTTTATAACCAGGAAATCAATATTAATTTTAAATAGGCGGGGGAGCCTAATATCACTGTTTTGCATGTTGCCATTTGTGATACGTTTTTTGACTTTATGAGAAATTGTGTAATACTGAATGCCAACAGATAGATAGACACCCTGAAACAGAGTCAAGCAGAGTTATAAGATCTGTCCAGGTGAGATTCAGCTCTACGCAGCACCACCCAGGCTGGAGCTAATCCACAGACGACTTATCCAAATTTGTAGACTTCTTTCCTTAGCCTACAACTCAAGACCCAATCCACAAGAGAGTTCCACGAATAAAAGTGAAAAAAAAAAAAACCAGGAGCTTTTGAGATTAAATGTAGACAAAAGCAAAAGACTCTGATGAAATCAAGTTAAAAACTACTAAGCCAGTTATGGGCTGTCATCCGGCTGGCATCTTGCTGATACAATAGGCATATCTTTGGGTGCCAGCCTAGATTCGGGAAGAGAGGAGGATGCTTTGTGAAAGGCTGTGGAAACCTGTAGAACTGTCTCTGATTTCCAGGCCTTCTACTTGAAGGAGCACTATGATTCAGCTTCTTTTGGACAAAAATGGAATAAAATAAAATAAATATCTGTTTTGACTCAATTCTGTAGCCTGAATGAAGGTGCTGTTTTAATGAATAGCACAGACACAATCATGTGGAAGAAAATAAGGCAAGGTTTTGTGGTTTAGAGTACAATGGAATTCCCTGGGTCTTGACAAACCCTTCCCAGGAAAACAGTGTGTGCTTGCGTCTTTACCTGGATTCAGATTGCAGTATTAGAAAAGTAATTGGGCAGAGCTCAAGAGTCCAGGATGTCCCGACTGGCATTGAAAGCAAGAGAAAAGAGAGACGGGGACAAGCGATGCTCATGAACCTCTTTCTGTGATAGCTTCTGATGGAGTGTTAAGGCTTGCTCACCATCAGTGGTTACATGAGATGCTTTTTCACTGATTTTTCTATGTGAAGCGAATGCCAGTGTCTATAGCTCAGGAGAAAATCAGCACTCAGAAACTTTTATTAGATTTAATATTATCAACTCCTCCAAATTGTTTTCCTGCCTGCATTAGAAGATTGTTCTCTAAAGTTACACTGGAGTTACACTGTGATTCCACGTGAGGCATCTCTACTGAGACTGAATGCTTTGCAGCCATCTTCTAAAATGAGAACACCTTTACTCAGTCCAGAGCTTGCTGCTTCTCCTCACTGAATGTTGCTTTCCTTGCATTGCATAGTTTTTAATCCCTCATTTATAGTGTTACTGTAGTACTTATACTTACTTGAAATTATTTTTTCTACTTCCTGTTTGTTGTCTACTTCTTGACTCGATGTGGTCCATGAAAACAAAGTCAATATTCACGAGACCCATGTGTTAACCCTCTACCCGTGGTGCCAGCATCTCATACGGGCATACATTTGTGTCTTGGTTGCTTTAGTTCTGACTCAATTTCCTGCTAATGGTCTAGGAAATCAATGGATGGTGGCCCAAGGCATTGAGGATACCGAAGTATACCGACCATCTCTTCCTGATAGGAATAAATGCACTTGTACTTGAATAGCATTTTTGGATTAATTTAACAGATAATTATTCCCTGAACCTTGATAACTGTATGTTGATCTGTCTCTCTCTTTTTTTTTTTTTCTCCTAAGGTGTGGGGAGTGAAGTTCCAGAACAGAGTATCTGTGTGAGTCTAACTACGCAGCCACTTCCAGTGAATAGAATCAGGACCTACACCATCAAGGAAGGCCCCATGAAAGCCGTAATGTGAGTTTGTCTCTCTCAGTTCCCCTGATGAAGTAGAGAAATACAGAGAAAAGTTGACAGAAATGCTGCCCTCCTCAGGAAAAATAGGTCAACATATGGGAAAATCTTACTTAACCAATAGCTCATTCTTTTTTCTTTCATGTGAATCCTGTTTTCATGCAGCCCTACCAAATAGTGATTCTTAGAAAAATTAGTCTACTAAATAAAGATTGGTCCTCGTTTCTGACTTAGTTTAGCCCCTAACACCCAGTGCTGATAGCTGAGTTTATAGATGGCTGATCCCTGTCAAGATTTGCCTACACAGTCATGGCCATGGGTAGATTTATTTATTAGACACTGTATCTCGAGGGCATGGATGAGAATATTGGCCTATGTGGTACTGTGTCCAGGAGAATATTTCCAGGAGCAGTCATTCCTCCTGGTACATTATTCCAAGTTTTCTTCTAAGAAATAAAATAAGGATATCATCTAAAATCCATAAATCAGATGAGTGTGTTTAGTTTTGGAAAGAAAGAAAATATCATAATTGAACTAGATGGTCTCACATGGACAGTTTACCCAGCATGTGACAAAAGGAGCCTGCCAATTAAGACAAGTCAAGGAGTTGGGTGTGATTACAGAGTACAGAGGGAAGGTGTTCATCTATGGCCTCATGGGTCTCAAAGATGATTTCTTCTAATTATTTCTGCACAAAATGTCATCATATCTGCTCTAATCAAACTCCTGGCTCTGAGACTTAGAAAATGTGACTAAATTTTCTGTCTTTTCCTTCCATTACAGTTTTGTTACCAGACGTGGCTTCAAAATCTGTGCTGATCCAAAAGCCAACTGGGTGACAGCAGCAATCAACAGCGTGGATGGCAGGTCCAACACCAGAAGGCGCATCGCCCAGACCAAGCCCACAGCAACCCAACAGACCACCAAGAGTGCTGTGACCCAGACTGCCTAGTGGCCCCTAGCACCTTGCCTTCTCCCAGCCAACCAGCCTGTTTCACTTGAAAGGCTTGTGGACTTATTAGACTGTGTTCATCTTCTATGAAAGTGCTGCATGAATAAAAATGTTTCCTTATGTTTTATATTTTAATGTCTTCCATGTTCATTACTAGAACCCCTTATTAATAAATATTTATTTTTAAGAATTATTTCATGCTTTCTATATTTTATGGGTATGTTGGGAGATGAAATAGTTATGCTATGTTCCTGTCCTGACTATACCCACCTTTAATAGTATACATGTAGGAGATATTTTAGCCATTTATTAGTGATTAAAGCTAAATTTGCCACTCTTAGGTTCTAGTTTGTAATGGCTCTTTACACATGAGTCATATACTAAAACTATGGCAACGCAGCATTTCAAGACCGATTTCAACTTGCCTTTAGAAGTAGAAGTAATTCAGCTGTCATTTGGTTCCCATTCCGAGGGTCAGTTATTGTAAAAATGGCCTCACAGGACAGGTATTGTGGCACATTGGGTTTAGCCACCAAACAGGACACTTGGCATCCCATAGCAGAGTGCCTGGCTCAAGTTCCAGTTACTATCTTTTGATTCAGCTTTCTGTGAATACATCTGGGAAGCCAATGAATAATGGTTCAGGCATTTGTGTTATTAATACCCAGCTGGGAAATCCAGATATAAATTCAAGTTCCTCATTTTGGTCCAGAGCAGCCTTAGCTGTTGAAAACACTTTGGTAATGAACCAGCTGATGAACCAGTTGATCTCTCTCTCTCTTTCTGTTTCTCTCTGTTTCTCCCTTTCAAATAAATAAATAAACATTTAAAAACATGACTTAAATATGATCTCAAGGAAATTCATTTCTTTGTATTTCACTTTGATCTTTTACTAAAGGGGAAAAAAGGCAGCGATTTTAATACCTCTAATTGATCTGATCAGTTAAAATTAGACTTTGGGTGCAAAACCTCTAAGTGGATATCAATATTTTTAATTGATAGCTTTCTGTGTTACTACTCCATTTAATGACTGAAGTCATACCTTACTGCCTGTAAGCTTTTAAGATCACTGCCCCTTAGAAAATTTTGATATGATCACAATTTACAGTAAACTTTTAATTAAATGTTCATCTGGTCTCTCAACACTGCAATTTCATGTTTTCTTGTATTCTCAACAAATATTTTATGTTTGTGGTTCTATATCCAAGTAGTGGATGATCCATGCATCCTGTTCTGACTCTGCATGGGAGGAACAGGCACTAACTGGATAGTTTTAAGTGAAGAGTTCTAGGGATTGTCTCATCTGAAACTGTAACTCAGCAACGTCAAGGCCTTGCAGAGGCCTGGAGTCAGCTATGTCTTGCTGTAACACTAGCAGATCAGACTGGAAACCATTAAAAAGTCACCTTCTGGCAAAGAGTGGAACAATTCATCTTTTCTCACTGCTATTTGTGACAATTTTCAAGAAACACATTGCTAAGTAAATAAGAATAAAATTTTTACTTGATGAGGAGTGACAGATAGTGAAGAACAAAGGGTTCACCAAAAGATTGTTTGCTGTTTGAGCTATATCTGTGTGTTTCCCAGTTTTCTGGACCCTAGGGGTTGGGGGGACATGTGTGACACTTGGCTTTTTCATTTCATCAATCTGCTCTCAGTTGTCTCCCGAAATGTCTCAACATTGCTGACAATGAACAGAGCAAAGCCTCCACTCTCATACAGTTTATATTCTGATAAAAATCTCCCTTCTTCCTCCTGTCCAAGCAACTGGAACCTCTCTTCTATTAACCACGTACCAGATGTATTCTAAATGTTTTGCTGTTATTGGAATGCAGTGGTGAAACTAGACACCTTGCCTTCAGGTTCTTAAGATAACACTGAGGGAAATACTCAAACAGACCATTCCAACATCATGTAGTAAGTGAACTAATGACAGCAGAGGTGTGAGCTTTGGATACAAGGAAGAAATTTTCTAAGTCTTAGTGTGGAGGGAGAGTCAGGACAGGTTTCTCCACCCAAACGACCTTTTGCTTGAGTCCTGATGGAAGAGGTGGAATCAGCCAGAGGCTTGCCTCCCAGATGTAGGAAATAAGCACACAGGAAAAGCCATGCAGGAGAGAGACACCTTGGCCCAACAAGGAAGTGAGAGTTGTTTAAAATGACGGAGAGACAGAGTGAAGGTTAGCGAGCAGAGAGGATGGCAGCAAGAGATGAAATTAGAGATGGAGGGGAGATCTCACTGAGGGACAATCAGGAATATTGACAGCCTCCCTTTACCTGCTGATTCCTTCGAAAACAGATTGAAAATAATTCACCAGAAAGTTGTGTTTGTGCTAACATGTACTGTTTGTCATGTTAGCACATTGTTTTTTTTTACGTCAGTCAGCATAGCAACTATTTTCATAGCATGTACATCGTGTCAGGTATTATAAGTAATCCAGGATGTGTGTAGGTTATATGCAGATCCACATCATTGTGTATAAAATACTTGAGTTTCTTACTGGGGAGGGCAGGGGTGAGGTTGATCCCCTGAGGAGAGTCAGGGATAACTGTATGTCTCTTTAAAGGCTAGGGAAATAACATGACCTGCTGAGTAAAAGATGGAGGGAAACACAAGATAGGACCAACTGGGAGGTGGTTCTGGAACTGGTTACATGGCCTGGCAGGGTGTAAAGCATTTTTTTTTTTTACCTGCTTAGTCCAGGACTACCTTAGTTATTTATGACTAATTGACTATGTAGTGTGGGCTAGCTGTATATGTTAATTGCACTAATTTGTTCACCTATTCCTGACTTCAGCAAGCCAGGAAACAGGAGCAAATAAAATATTTATGGGACTTGCCAATGAGTTGCATCATTTACAGGCTATGCTAAGAATGGATCCAGGAGATTAAAACCAGAGGCAGTTATTCAGAGAAAGTAGGAGGTACAGTTAAGGAGCAAGAAGTGGCAGTAGCAGGTTCCAGAGATCCACAGACAAAGCTTCTTCAGTTTCTTGAATAATTTTTGAGTATCACTGGTATGGGAAGGAACTGTTTGGAAGAATTGGGACTCTGTTGAGGCTTTAAGCTTAGGTGACTCATTAAGAAACAGCACAAGCGATTCCTATGATGTGGACTAATTTCCAGTATAGTCATTTATCATAAACCTGAAAGAATACACAAGCCATGAAGGGTAAGGAGGTGAGGAAAAAAGAGCCTGGAGAAGTAAAAATATGTCTTTCAGGCTAACTCGCCAAGTGATTCAAGTAAAATCCCAGACTTCATTTTAATTCCCTTTTGACGGACAATTCTTTCATATAAATGAGGAAAAAATAAGACTGAATATCTGTGGAACTCTATATGCCCCTCCAAGGGAAAAAAATGCACATAAGCGGAATTTGGTATCCATTGGATGAGTCACTGGCGTTGTTCTAAAAGGGGTTATATCGCCAGGCAGTGGGAGGCAGAGAGGAGCAGGGAGATGGGTTTGTAATGAAAGGAAGAGAAATGTGGTGACAGAGGCCGTTTGGAGTGGGAACTGAGAGCTCAAACCAGTCTGAGAGGTGGAATTTGAGGAGAGAGAATTATTTCTTCAATGCCCCAAGAAATGTGAACCCAATACAAGGGTTGTTTGTTGATTCTCTGTGACACTGTGCTGCCCAGAATGATTTCCAAGTCTGCATAATCTGCTTCCCCTTGAAACATGGTCTGCCTTCATCAAGGTGAAATGCAAATGAGATGAAGGCTCACATTATATAATAAGGAAAAAACACCCACACAACCAGGCTGAGATCTTCATCAGAGCTATCAAATGTTGAAAGGAATAGTGGATCCTCTCTTTCTGAAGATAGGTTGGAGCGATGGGTGGATGGAAGGTGGAATGACAGAGGTGAGTTTGAGATGAACCTTGTCATTGGTCATGGATGAAAGAGGGTGGGTTGTCCCATGATTGGCCTCTGTCTGTCTCCCTCTTTTTGCTGTCCATACAAGAGACTGTGGAGCCCAAGCATGTGGGCCATCTTTTGCTGACTTGTCATGCTCATCATCAGGAAGCTGGATGGTAAGCAGAGGAACTTAGACTTGAAGAACTCTTCAACCCATATGTGTTGCCAATGACCCAGGTAGGGGCTTTCCCTGCTAAGCCACAATGCCAGCCTTAATTAATGTGCTTTCTATAGCACCTATAGCAGGAGTTTACATAGTTTTTGCTCAGCATATTCATATAGTTGTAGAATCAGAACTGTTAAAAGGAGCATAAGACACACAGAAATAATTTATACCTTAGTTGCAGAGATAACATGTATATATGAGAATATAATAACAGAGGTAGAGTTATTGATGATCATTTATTAAATAGAATGGCCTGAGAATGACAGTACATTTCTTTCAAAGAGTCAGCCCCAACTGACTCATAGTGGCTGCCCGATTTTGTGTTTGATAAGATAATGAGATTATTTCCTGATTCAGCAGAAAGAGTGCTATGATTGATTATTGATGTCTTCCTTGCGTAGTAAGCTGGCTGCTGGTAGTCTACCCTTAGATAATTTGATAACTCCATTGTGGTCAATGGTATTTGAAGCCTAGAGATAGTGCCCATCACTGTGGGCTGACTGGGTTAGCCAGAGAATGTTTGTTGCATGGATAAAGAAGTTTTGATTGGGCCATGAACAGTGAAAAGAATTTCTAAGCCAAAGAAAATGGGAGAGATGATGAAACAAAACGTGGAAGTGAAAGAGAGCAAGACAGTCTTGTTGGTCATTTGATTGCTTTACTTCTCCCATTAGACTACAAACATTTTCTATCCAGGACCACATACCAGAGTATATTGGCAGAGTATCTCCTGTTATAATGCACACATTCACCAATATGAATTCAATGAATGGGGAGTGTGGCCAGGACAGTCAAGATGACAGCTACATAGGGACAAAGAATGGAAGAGTGGTGAAAGGTGAATGAAAATGTGACTTAGGGAAGGCTTCTTGAGGTGAAGAGATAACTTTGTAAGTATTTTGCAGGTGAATATTTTTAGAGGACAATTTGAGTCCCCCTGAGGTGTCTGTGATATTTGAGTACTTTGTCTCACAGTGGAATTCACATTGCTCATTTAGAACCATTTCTCCTACTTGACCTCTGGCAGACTTTCCTAA